CAAACTTATATGTAGGAATATTTACAGACATCTCAGTGTCGGACGTACGCTTGCGTGTAGAGGTTAGGTCGCCATAAGAGAGCTTTTAACAAGATAAAAATTTTTACGGTATTCGTCATGAGATTTCATTAATGTCTCCCAATGACAGCCTAATAAAGCTATTCTAATATGGGCTTAATGCGTTTGGCTTCATTGGGTTGCCATTGGGAAAGCCTAATGCGGCTTTCACAATTAGGCGGTCGTAAATATTCCGCGTTACATACCGCATGCGGGCCTAACAGACAAATTAGGTTAGCCTAATGCGGACCTAATATCCGCCTAACTGAAATTTCTGGTCGGGTAATGATCCACTTGAAAATATTTAATTTGGAAATTATCCATTCTTTGAACGTTCAAAAATAATATTGCCTACTAATTAAAATAAATTTTAAAGTAATTTATCTTGCTTTTGCTAAAAATCCTGCGATGCGAATATGCGAAACGGGGTCAACGAACCGGACGTTCGTTGTTATTAAACAAGAGCGAGTGTGTTTGTGCGAATGCAAAGAGAGCGCGTGAGAGTGAGAGAGAGCGATCTCAGATCAGGGTCGTTCATTTTTCCTGCGAAGCGACAAAGCTGTGAGAAAATTCGTCCCGAAGACGGTGAAGCGAGCGTCTTGAAGCCAGGCCCAGCGCGCTCGGTGGGAGTGACTCGCCCCTTTGGGGTTTTCCCTGGGCCTGTTCGCGTAGGGGAGGACAGGGATCGGCAGGACGACACGTCCTCACTCTTCCCGAGACCCTCAACGTACACTTTTGCGAACGACACCAGCATAACGTAGATACAGACTTTGAGTAAAATATATTACTGTGGAAACGCAGAAACGTGCAATTTTTTTTTACGCCCATCCTACTCCGATACAAAGCGGTACCTGTTTTGTTTCTCCTAATTATATTTTACCAATTTCTAATTGCATTTTGCATTCCGTTCCCTACATAAATAATATTTTTTGCATCGACCAAAATAATAGTAAATCGTTGTTTATTGTGTAAATATAAGCGAGTTCCATTCTCTTTTCATTATTTACCGAATAAATTTCAGAAGTAATCTTGTACGAAACTCGATAAAAATTTCCTTATCAAAAATAAAAATACAGCATGATTGAAGTTAAAAACAACATCAGAATGGTACAAAGTCACCAAGTACAAGATTCGTATTTGTGCTCGAAGTTAACGAGTCATCGTTAACATTCATCTCTTCTCGCCGGAAATCCGCAACTTTCTTTCCTCTTTTCCTCTGATCGATTCAATTTAGCTGTTGCGGCGTGGAGCGGCCACTCCAGGAACGATAAGAAAATACAAACGATGTCTAGGCGAGTGGAATTAAACGTAGCAATTTCGCAACAGCAACGTCTTCGTCGGTCGAAGAAAAAGATAAATTACCGATGTGCCGCTGATCAATTGCGTAGACCCGGCGTAGTCTGTTAAGTGGGAAAGAAAGCCTCTAATCGAACGCGATCGAATTTACTCGAAGAAGTCCGGTGCACTCTCCTTGCTTCCGGCTTCCTGGCAAAAAACGCTTCCTCCCTTCCGGAAAGGAAACGCTCGCTGGTTGACAATGGCGGGCTGCGAGGCATCGAAGAAATACGATCGTCCAACGCAGCTCTTTCCTGGATCCTGTCACGGTGAAATGTAATTGAAATTTCTCGTGGAACGAATCAACCAATGTTTCTTCCAAATTTTCAAACTTTCCAATTTGAAAAATGAAAGTGTAACAAAGGTGAAATTGAAATTGTACTTCGCAAAGAATCAGATCGAAACTTATCCAAATTCTTAACATTAATTAGTACATAATTAGTAAAAAATTTCCTGCATTTTCACTTCGCAGAAGATGAAGTCACTTTAAATTGCCAAAAATTAGAAACTCCCGGAAGTACCAGCACTTCACCATTAATCGTTTCACGATTCTTCAAACCTTCACCCTCCCCCTGTTCCCGTCTCGTCGAATTACCGTGAATTTATTTTACATTTCAGCCCCGCTAATTGGTCTAACAACGACTCGAACGAAGAGAAACGAGCGAGCAAACGGAGAAAGAGAGAAAGAGGGAAAAGAGATTTCAATGTCGCTGTCGCGATTATTTAACCGCGAGGGAAACTGATAAATCGCCAAGTATCCCCTCCTGTCCTCGAAAACGTGAAGAGTGAAATGAAAGAAGGGGTGTGGGGAAAAAACGAAAAATTCCGGTCGGAAGCCGCGGAATTACTCCGCAGCGAAGAGTAGGTTAATACACACGGCGGCAAAACGCGGATAATTTTTCTCGTTGTTCGTATCACGCCAACGACGAGTGCATCGACGTACTGTACGCTCGAGAGTGCTCATTAATTCGGCCGAACGACAGGATTATTGTGCGATCGATCAAAAAGTACCAGAGCGGACCGGATTCCCTTCTCGCCCCCGTCTCTAAAACACGTCGCCGCTGTTCACGCGGCGCTATACCGAGCGTGTGCACACATACACACGTGCTTACACCAGTTCCACCAGGCCCGCGACACGGCCGTTTCCTCCTTTTCTTTCGCAAGTCCCGCGACCACTCCAATTAGATTAATTAAGCCAGCCACACGTACGTGCATCACGGGGTGAAACAATGGCCGTGGTGTTTCAGTTGGAACGAGGTAGGGAGAAAGCGGTTGGTAGAATAGGTAGATGGAGTTGAGGTCGTCGCCGTGGAATTGTCACAGGGCAGAGAATTTCAAGTAGATCCGCCCGCTTGTATGCAATCTCCGGCCGAAAATGGGCAACCGTGATCGCGCTGGGTCCGTTTGCAACATCCAGGTTGCCCTGAAAGAAGCGTATAAAGCTCCGTTAATCCGTGTCCGGTGCACCGGAATCCAGTCTAGATAGACCCACAAATGGCCGCGGCAATTTCATTTGCAGAGCCGTGGAATCGTTAATCAAACCCGCGCGCACGCCACGGTGAATGCGCTAGAAGCTTCGCGACTGTTCCCATCCCCCCCGGTCCCCAGTGTTTTTCTCGTGTCGCCGTCGTATATATGTGTTTTTTTTGCGTATAGACGTGCGTGTCGCGTTCAGGTGTACGTGGCGTGTGATAAATCGAAAATGCTGTGCGAAGAAAATGGCGAAAAATGAAGAGCGAAGAATATGTGTATATAGGAATGTTTGTACGAGATGGACGCGCGTGTATACGGAGTAGCGAGTTTTCAAAGGAGCCTAGGGACGTGGTGGAACGTGCGTATATGCATACCTGGTGCTCGGTCCTCTCGTCATGCAGAACGTAAAAATTTATTAGGACACGTTGAAATTTTAAGCAACACCCTTGGACACGTGTACACGTCGTTATTTCTCTTCTACCTCCTTCGCTGTTTTACTGCGGGCTGTTTGTACGTTTTAGTTGCTCCGAGAAATATCGTCCTTGTTTCTGTTTAATTATTTATTTCACCCAGCTGCCGGGACTGCCGTTACTATTAACATAAAACGGGGGAAACGGCGACTGGTGTTGCGTTACTTCACGCGACGACACCTTTCCACCTTCGTGAATCTCTGACGCGTGTAAAATTTCCATTCTGCCGACGGTATTGCGACCATTCCGCGAAATCGCGAAATTTCGGCGTTAAGAATGATTTTGATTCGAAGACTCGCGGTGGGGGAACGACCTTGAGGCGGCGATACTCTCTGTTCAGACTGTAGGTCTGCATTTCTGGCTTCCATAGGAGAATCGAAGTGCCTGGAAACGCGCGACTATATTTATCCACTACATAAATTCCTCGTTACATCACAATAGTCCCCTTTGTCCCGGATTAATAATATATTTTCGTAGTAAACCGAGCGAGTATAATTTCCCCAAACGCTCTGTAAACCCGAGGATCAACGATTTCATGGAAAATGAATGATATTGAGGGCACGTGTTCCATTCATCGACGTGATTAATACCGGTGTTTGATGGACGAATATGCAGAATGCGAAGATTTATTAACAAGCGAAGGAATTTATGAACGGGGCGAAGAAATATGATTTGTGACTCTCGCTACCGCGTTAAAAACTGTTCCATAGTAATAATTTACGCGGGAGTATAACGACGAGGAAGCTAGGATAAAGTCTACATTATCGAACGATTTAACGTTTCATTGGATTCCTGCTTTGAAACCTTCCTCTAGCCATTGTCCCAACTATTGCATTAATGTTTCCGATCCGTCGATAAATATCGTTGCACCTTCGACGAAAACTTTCGTTTTCTCCTCTATGTTTATTATCAACAGAACTCTTACAAAATAGTCGTACTTCTCAATCAGAAGAAACGACGATACAAAATAAATCGTAAAGCATGCTCTATTGTACAATAGAAAAATTGCATTACGTCAAAAACAACGAAGGAAAAGAGCTAATGCCCCTTTCTGTATCCCCACTTCTTCCCATCACCATGCGATCCTTTCTTGCCATGACGATAGTCGTTGCGATAGTAATCTTCACGAGCATCGTCGCTATCCTGTCCCGTATGGTCCCTGTCGTAGTGCCCCTTCAGATAATAGTCTTTCTTACCATAGTCAGCCTCCTGTTCACCATAATCTCGATAACCTCCCCTGTAGTGTCCACCTTTGTCCTGCTCGCGATCGTAGTGGTGACCGCCGTTCTGCTCGTCGAAGGCGGAATCATAGTCTTCGTCGTGAAACTCCTTGTGCTTCTCAAATTCGTCCAAATTCTTCACCTCGTGGTGACCGTGGGTGCTGTGTCCTTTTCCATAGTGACCCTTTTCTTGGAATCCTTCGCCCTTTTCACTTGTCTCACCTTCGTGATGTTCGTCGTAGTAACCATCGTTACGAAGATGATCACTCTTTGCACCGCCGTCCTCGTTGTAGTATCCGTAGTCTTGGTTCGAGCTACGGTGACCTCTGTTGGCTTCTTCGACGCCGTGGTGGCCACTGTAACCCTTATCTGCGCGATTACCAGCTTTGTCTTCGTGGCTGGCATAACGATCGCTTCCGCCGCCCTCCTCGTAACGGTGGGAACCAGAGGTAGCCGCTAGCTCTAGATTCCCGTGGTTTATGCCCGACGCGAACCTCGCAGGCGCCAAAATTGCCAGGAGTATCAACAGGAACGGAGCTCCACGTACGGCAAACATATCGGTTTTCTTTAATTTTCCGCTGGCCGGGTTCCTATTTTTAAAGAGGGCGCAAATGTGTATCTAAAGTTGGACGATACGGTTGATTGGATGGGTATATATTGATTCGCGGCTCGCTACTTCACGTGTTGCCGCGAGTATTTTTCTTATCTGAATCGTTCCCGGTGTGTATGGAGCTCGTCGGACGATCGAGGAATTCGTATTTTTTCGAGGGAATTACGTTTAGAAATTGTAACGCGTATCTGCTTGAAATTTATAGAGGATGAAGATAATATTGTTACGAAAGGTGGAAATATATCTGGTACTTCTCTTGGGATTTTTGTATCGATGAAAATGTTGAGAAAATTGTCAATTCTCGTCGACTAATGGAATTACTCTACAAACCAGAAATCTCATAAGCACGTGCACGTTACAATATACAAAAAAAAAAAAAAGAAAGAAAATAGGAAGCATACAAAATTTCCATGAAATACACATTTGACTGTATAAATATCCCTACATTCAAGATTAAAATAAAAAGCAAATGATTCGACGTATAAATTCCAATTGCTCAATTAACGAAGCGAATGTAAAGACTGAACAGACGTGACCAAACGAAAGAGAAGTATTTTGAAAATCAGACTGTTGCTCCTTACGTGAGTGAAAAATTCCACGTGAAAAGTAAGTTCAATTAACGTTCAATTTACCTCGAGTACAGTTCCGACGACCCTTCGAATTCGTTTCGGGGGAAATATTCGCGTGGAGTAGTTGGGCGAAACCGGGGATATTACGGCAAGCTAGCTGGCTGCTACAGCCAATATGATGCGGATGCGCGAAAATCTAACTTTTATATGTCTTTCACCTGTGGTACCTCTATGCACCGCCGGTCGCCGTTAGGAAAAACGTGCAAAACGTTACCAACGCTTCGGGAACGTCCGTGAAGGGAGAGAGCACGCTTTGATTTCTGGCCCACGCCGCGCCGGAGAACACATTTGCTACGTGTTACGGGAGTTAACGGGTTGCTGTGTGAATTCGAATGTTTTGCAACCCCGTTCTAGCCGTCCCTCTCTCCCTCTTCGTGCAAAAATTATATAATTTCCATTGCGATATGCTGATCGTCGCTGGACCTATTCAGTCACGGATTCTTTCTGCGTTACTTTTTATTACCGTTTAACGCGGAGATATCGAATTGAGCATAAATCCGTGAACATGGGTAATCGCCTTTCGTACGTTCTTCGAATATGAAATTATTTAATAAGAAAGAAGAAAAGAAAGGAAGGAGAATTGAGATTAAATCGAGGTATTCTATTTCGGAGAAGTATTTTAATCGACGAAGTTGTTTAGATAGACAGTGAATTTCGGTTGTGTGAAATTGGTATTCGATGAAGCTGGCATTTGTAGAAGGCTCTGTATCAATCCAGTCTATCGTCGATTCTAGAAGCCGAGGTGCTTTGCATTGTTTCCCTTACGAGGGTGTAGAAATCGTAGCTAGAATGTGATTGCGTTACCAGGAATGCGTAGTCAATGGAACTGTTCTCCTGGAAATGTACCGATTGCTTTGTCTCCTTTGAGAAAGATGCGTAGAGAGAGAGAGAGATTAGAAAGGTGTACGATTCATCCTTCGGTGAGGTTGGTTCACGGAGCAGGATCGATGAATAGGTTATTCATACAAATCAAGTAAGATGGAAAATCTTTTATTGTTTGATACATGTTACAATTATCGTTTAATAATTTCTACGCTTTCTAATTCGAGAGTTAGGTCAGGTTTAATTAGATATGTTAAAAGTTCAATTGCACACCTAAAATAAATCTTTCATTTGAAGACATGGTAATTTAGGGAACAGAAGTAATTCGACAAGACTTGGGTGCTGTTTATTATTTTATTACTTACAAACTGTTTAACACTCATTTCTTATAGTAAACTTTTCTTGAAGTCTGTAGTTGCAAATTTCATTTCTGCTTTAATTACCCCTAACAGGTAACTCCTAAGAATCAGTTGATAGTAAAGAGTTAAGTAGCTATTTATGTATTAATAAAAATATATCTTGGTATGTTTCATTCGTTGTTTAAATTGTATAAAATGTGATAGAATTTTATATCCTCTTCGATTACTGACTTACTTCAAATAGTTTCTCTTGTGTTGCATATCGTTATAAAGTTTCCAATATGACGTTAAAATCAAATTTAGAGTATTATAAGTAAAACATATTATACGTAAATGGGACAAAGGGACATGTTGGAACGAATAAAAGTAAAATTGAATTCTGTTAATGGGCAATTTTATTATTAAAACAGAAACGTGACAAATTTCACCTTCCAGTGCCTAAAATTAATCAACGACGGAATACAAAACAAGTAAGGTAACAAAAATAAGTAAATTTCATCGCATCGGCTGCATCTCTTAATGATGTCCGCCACCACCTCCGCTCGAGTATCCATGCTTCTTCCCTCCATGATGCTCGCCCTTCTTCCCATAATCCTCATAATGCGAGTGATGATCGTCGTGTCCATGTTTGCCATGATAACCCTTATGGTCTTCGTCGTGGTGTCCCTTATCGAAATGACCCTTCTTGCCATGATGATCCTCGTGATGTCCAGAATGATGATGTCCTCCCTTCTTGTGATGACCATCCTTGCTCTCGTGATGTCCATGATGATTACCATGCTTCTCGTGATGACCACCTTTATGGTAATCATCGTAGAACTTGTGCTCCTTGTGATACTCGTCCTTATGCGCCTTGTGATGGTAACCGTGAGTCTTCTCACCCTTCTTGTGCCCCTTCTTATGCCCAAACTTCGAGCCCTTGTGCTCGTCCTCGTGCTCGTGATGATTTCCATGCTCCTCGTGCTCGTCATGGTGTCCCTTCTTGTGTCCACCATGCTCCTCGTGATGTCCTTCGTCGTGATCCTTACCATAGTGACCATGATCACCTTTGTCGTGATGGTGATGACTCTTGTACCCCTTTTCACCCTTGTCGCCGTGTTCTTCGTGATGGTAGCCATGATCATCGTGTCCACCGCCCTCCTCGTGATGATGGCCATGATGAGTGGCTGCCATAATCAGATCCCTCCTGGTCCTCAGCTCCCTAGCTGTAGACAGGGATAAAAACGCGCAGACCACGGCCAGGCCGAGGCAGAGCCACAGATTGTTCGCCATGTCGGTACTTTGTGAACCGACGAGTGCTATCGACTGATCACGTCGTTTTAAAGCAAAGCTTATATACCTGCCGTAATACCGGCGTTTCATACGTAACCGCTTTCGTTGGTCGAGGGAACAGAGAGCTGCTCCCGCTCGTACTACAAGCTTAAGATCCTTATTTCGTAAACGTCGCCAGTCCGTGGCCCATATCGAAGGTTGCTCCTGCGGGCGGATTGGAGACGTTCGAGACCAGAAATACGTCTAAACGGTGAACATCGATCGCGATAAGGACACGGTTTTTCCAGCTGTCCGGAGGGACAACCGGCCGGTTTTTCCCCACCGTGAAGCAATTAACTGTGAAATGAATTAACGTTATTTGCTCGGGACCGTGGAGAGTACAGAGACAAATCAAGCATCGCTAACGCGACGTCCGATAAAAAGCCAATCAATTTGCAGCCGGTCGAATAATGGCAGAACGTTCGTTACAAAACAGCCGGGGTAATATGAAAATATTCTTTTCACCGTTCACCGAACGAACTTCTTGCCTGCAACGATAGTTTCACACTTTCCTTCCCGATTATACCCGAACGATTCCTCCAGTTTTGTCGCCGCCGACTTTCCGCTGTTTCTAACTATCTCGCACCTGTGTGAAAATAGCGACGCCCCGTCGGAAGAAACATTGTCCCAGATCGTACACACGTTCGTACGAAGAGGACGTAGGATAGGATTGTGACCGATGTGATTACGTTCGAGAGTAGCAGATCAACCGTGTCGATGGAATTCCACGAAAGGGGAACAGTGGTTCGATCTGTTTTGCGGTCGGTGAACAACGAAAGTATACTCGTGTCAATATATACAGCGCTATCTATTTTCTCCTGCATCACTGACTGCTTCATGATCCTCTGGCCACGAGCATCAAACCTAAGCAGCCACAACTCGTCTCCATTTTTATACTCGAATGTATCTATCTCCACCTCGACGATATTCACATGAAAATTAGAAAAGATGTGTCAATGAACGCACACCAAGATCAAACGACAGATTGACAAACCCCAGATCACAGCAGCCCCCAATCCACATAGAAATCGGAACCCAAAAAACTGTAAGTGTCCCGTTGTTACGTAACGACGCACAATCGCGGTGAAAAAGCATATCGAGAGGAGGGGCGGGAGAGAAAAGTATTGTTTACATACAGAGCGATATTTCACCGACCACCGGTTTCAGCACGCGATTTCGTGGCCGGTTGCATAACGGTTTCGATTGACGGCGCCGGAATCGGCTGAAATCGACGAATTGCCGGCTAAGCGGGTTAAGGAGACGTTACTTTCGCAACGCGGTAAGGAACAAGCCGCTTCCTTAATATCGATTATTCCCCGTTCGATATATAATCCGAGCGTGGTGACCGGGATTAATCATACCGAACGCAGCGTTCGAGTAGAACGTTTCGTTTGCAACCGCCGACCGATCGATCCCGCCCGCCATGAAGTCACGGCTCGCGATTTATCTGTCGCTGGCCTGCGTCGTCTGTCAGTTCACCTCGATCGTTGCTCGAGGGATCGAGAAAGAGTACGACGACCTGACAGCCGAGGCGACTCATCATCATCACGACGAGGGCAGCGGTGGAGAGCATCACTCCGACCATCACAGCAAGCACGGCGATCACGGGGACAAGGGTTACAAGTCGTCGCATCATCACGAGAAAGGTGAGAAGGGACACCATGACAAGGACGAGCACATGGGGCACTACGACGAGGACGAGGGACACAAGAAGGGCCATCATCACGACGACGGTTACTACGGCGAGCATCACAAGGGCGAGAAGGGAGAGAAGGGGCACAAGTTCCACGAGGAGGGACACTACGGGAAGGGGCACAAGACGAAGGGACACCACGAGGTTCACAAGTTAGACGAGTTCAAGAAGGACAAGGAGTTCTTCGACGAGCATCACGATTCCGGGCATCACGAGGATCACGGTGGACACCATCACGAGCACGGGCACAAGAAGGGTGGACACTTCAAGAAGGGACACCACGATCACGGGGAGCACGAGGATCATTACGGAAAGAAGGGTCATTTCGAGAAGGGACATCATCATCACGACGACAAGGGACACAAGAGCGACGGTGGTCACGACGAGCATCATCAACATCATTCGAGTCACGGCAAGAAGGGAGGACACGACGACCACAAGTCGTGGGGATTTAAGAAGGGACACTGAGGATGATTCTTAATGATTGTTACGTTTGTTAAGCATCGTGTTGACGTATATAAAAATAAATGTATTTTTTAGGACAACTTTATTTCACGGAAACAAATCTTTTCTTCTTTTATAATATCGTTTGCTGTGAAATTTAATCCGTCGTTTCTCCGTGTAAGATGTATGAAATTGCGTGTAAAATTGGCAAATGATGCGAGAAGATGCTTTTTGTAGGGGAACATACTGAAAGTAAATATAATTCGAAACACTTTTACGGTGTTGGTATATTCGCGAATTAATTTTATAAAGCAGAAAGGACTATAAATAAATTTCATTCCAAGACGAATTTACTTGTAAGCCAATGTTTGCAACGCATGAGTTGTTCTACGCAAAATAGGTTGAAACTCGGCGATTGCTTGGAAACTTTCGTTTGGCAATACCTGTTAGGGTTTGACAAATCGCTAACTTGTCAATTTGTGGTGATTTTTGTCATAGTTCAATGGTTCTGCGTTTCTTCACTGGACATGCTACGCTGAGTTAGTCAGCCCAAAAAAATTAGGTCAATAACACTTTCCAGAAGAGTTACTTCATACGATTAAGTAACAGTATTGTCACCGTGACAACCGAAATTTCTTAATTCTACTATCTTCTCTATTTTTATAAGCAAATACCGAAACTCTATAATTCAATTATTAAAAACGAAATTTACCAATTTTCATAGGAACAGAAAAATTAATGTGAATAAGAAAGTCAATATAATTGTCACTTTGTCTTTATTACGCAATACATGTTACAGTGTAAATCAAATAATAGCAGAATCGTTCGCAACAATAATCAATGATCTCCTTTATGGAACTTGTGCATTTTAGCAGATTTCGAATCTTCTTCGGCGCCATAATCCTCGTGATTCGAATAGTACGAATTCTCGCCCTCTTCGTTCTTGTGACCTTGATCCTGACTGTCACGGTGACCCTTGTCGTAATAACCCTTCCTTCCGCTGTCCTGGTCATCGTGGTCCGAAGAATGATGTCCGCCTTTCTTAAAACCACCTTCCACGCTCTTGTAACCTTTGTCGAATTCCTCGTACTCGTCGAAATGACCCTTCTTATGGTCATCGTCGTAGAAGTCCGACTCCTTCTTATACTCGTCCTTGTGGTAGACATTGTGGAAACCATTAGTTTTGTGTCCTTTCTTGTGGTGCGACAAATGCCCGTAGTTGCTACCATCTTTTCCTCCTTCCTCCTCTTCGTGAGAACCGTGCTCCTCGGCCTCGTCTACGTGTCCCTTCTTGTGTCCACCTTTGTTCTTGTAATACCCTGACCAATTAAAATCAGTTTTAACATATTACTGTCTACGGATCAGATATTTTACGCAATTTTGATTTCTAAACTGCTGTGTTGATATTAAGAATTAACTCTTTGCGGTCGAAGCGCGGGATATTCCCTGCGGAAACGGGGGAAAAAATAATGTGCACAGAGCTTAAATGCTAACTTGAATAAAATTTATCTGAAATTTTTTAGGCAATAATTGACTGAGCGCGCGCTACCAAAAAATAATTCCTGCCTACAGAAAGTACGACCGCAAGGAGTTGACACATTGTTGCAAGAAATTCTTCGTTCACGTGAAATTCAAAAATTTATCAAGAGAAATTTGTTATATATTGAAAATTAATTCTAGTGGCACAGTTCTTATTTGTTATTGACAATATTTCCGAAACAACAAACCATGCCCACGAAAAATACGACCGCAAAGAGTTGACACATTGTTGCAAGAAACTTTTCATTCGCATAAAATTCAAAAATTTTTTGTATTAAAAATTAACTCTAGTAGCATCGTTCTTATTTATTATTGACAATATCTCCAAAACAACAGACTTACCCTCTTGATGTTCATCATCCTTCGATCCCCGTTCACCTTTGCTATACTTCTCCCTCGTCTCATACCCCTTCTCGCCATTCTCCCCTCCCTCCGAATACTTTTCAGCCGCGTGCTGTTCCCCATTTCCAGCTTCAAACGAAGCTCCTCCATCCCCCCGAGATTTACCAATTCCCCCATGACCATAACCACCGCCATATCCGAAGTTCTTCGTTGATCCACCGGATCCACCGTGAATCTTCTCATCGACACCGTACCCATCCTTCTCCTCGCCGTCGTGATCCTCCTCGATGCTCTCTCCCTGCGATTTCTCCTCTCCAACCCCGTCGTTCAGGCGAATCTTTCCATCGCCGTGATACGGCGCGCTTGGCTCAGACTCGACGGTCTGAGCCCCGTGTTCCAGCGATTGCTCGTTACCGTAATTGCCAGTTCCTTGGCCAGCGTGGCGCGGAGGATCCTCCGCGGTTGCATAGGGGAGCAGAGACGGATTCGCGTGAGGAACAACGTGAGCAACAGGTGTACCACCGGCAACGTACTGCAGCTGGTGGTGGTCCGGTGTATGGTAGTAACGTCCACTTCCGTGATTGGTGTACTGCACGTAGTAGACCGGAAGACCCTGTTGCTGATTGTACACGTATCCAGTGGCGGAGCTGTCTAGATCCATCGTGCTCATCTTGCTCGACGTCATACGCTGCTCCATCGTCGGAGCAGCATCGTTACGACCAGTCAGAACGAACACGCACACCAGAATCATACTCTTAATGCTACACAGCATGTTTACGACCTGGTGTATATATGTGTGTATGCAGGTGGGCTGATAGTTCGTTCAAGAGGTTCTGAATACCGGCGACACTGTTCGCGGTAAGTGGCGTCGTAACAGGTGAACTGGAATGTACACAGCCGTGTGTCTATGAATCCGGCGGCTTCGCCTTATATATACACACGGAGGAACGTGATCCGCCGAGTGAATAAGGGATCGTAGAGTGGAACCGACTATTCCACGGTCGAGCTCGATAATTCAAGTACGCCGTGTTATTGACGGCTGCCCAGAATGCTGGCCAGGGCGTTCCGGGGAATCGCGGCGATTTGCGTAATGCGTCGTCATGGGACTGGACGCAGCACTGACTGATCACCGATGGATCCATCTGCGGTGCCTTTGATCAGGCTCGATGGACGCTCGAAGACGTCTTAGGATCACTGGGACATTGTTCGTAATTATTCGGTAAATAATTGGGGGAACTGGCGTGGAAAAATTTGCGTGATATGGGAAAGCATGTATGAATGAGTGTGTAGAGTATGAAAATTGTAAGTTTGGTAGCTTTTGCTGTATAAAATTCTAAAGACACCCTACTTTTCTTTGTGCCTAGATGTGTATGGTTTAAATCCTTGAGCCTACCGTATAACGATTTCCAAACAAGCATGTCTATTCAGAGTACTTTGTTAAAAAGAGATTTTTAAACGTTTTAAGTTACAAAGTTTCCCAGAATATTCGTAAAATTTCGAGGTACCTTAAGTACCCGCGATGTTGCACTGCGAAGAATCGCGAAGACAGTACTGAGACTGCGATACAGGAAATATCAAGCGACTATTGCCAAATAATGGAAATGACATGGTACAATTAAGCACGCTATTATTGCGCAACGAGAGAATAGCGATTGGAAAGTCGACGTGACCCGATGTTTTTACGAGGAAATCTACTTTCAAGTGCAAGCATAAGCGGAATGTGAAATGCAATTGGAAATGAACGAGTTTTAATCGGTCGCAAGACCGCTCGTGTGAAATCCTATTTCGCGCGAGCTTGTTCGACGGCGTGAAGAGGAAGCAAACGATGGATTATTTGCTGCTAGATGTTGCTGCTTGATTGGCCTGGCTGAATCGAACGTGGAGCTCTCTCGCGATTTTTAAAACCCGTTTAGCCTCTCGATGCAGAAAACACGATGAGTCTAATTGGGAATAACTTGGTGCGAAAGTTCGATTGCAAGAAAGGGGAATGTTATATAATGAAATTGTTGCTGTGTTGTAATTTCACGGGAGATGCCGGATCTTGGATGAGGTATTCGACGAAATTTTGCAAGACGAATTTTCGAAATTCGCTAATAATGTACTATAACTAAATTCAAGCTACTTTAACATCTATAACCTAGAAAAAAACAAAAGTGTCTGCAGCTGATAATTTGTTGACATTTGTACATTCCACGAGATAAGTATCGATATTAAAAACAGAACAAAAATATTTTTATTCAGCTTGATTTACAGAAGAAACGACAAATCATTGTCGCGAATTTTTCGCGAAATATCCACAGACCTCGCGACCCAGTTTCTAAAAATCCCCCAAAACAAGGCACTTTGTCACAAGAACCTTCGATTGTTGCGCAAAGGAAAGTCCGTTTCTGTAATCTCGCCGTATCCATTATCCTTCCAAGGCCGTTTCCCCCTTGAATCACCGGGGAGCATCGAACGGAAGATTAAACACGGAACCTTGGACGTTCTGTCGGGAAAGAAACGCTGAGGTCGCGTGAAAATATCCCCGTGAAATCATCGAAACTTCCACGCTGGCAGGTCCTTTCAGGTGCATTCCGTTTGCAGCCGTCCTGGGCGAGAGGTGATCGCGTCCGATCACTCGAGCGGACCAAGTGACGTATAAAAGAGCCTGGCTGATTGCGCCGCGATTACAGTAGAGGAGAACGCGCTTCCGCGAGCCAGCGTGACTGGAACAGCACCTAAAACGTTCTCGCCACCGTTCGCCAGGCATGTATACGCTCTGAATGAAATTTCTCGATTAAAACCAACTGTATCCGAGACACTGGATGAGTTGACACAACAATGAGAGTCTCCAGAGGAAAATGCCACCTTATTTACGCGCTGCTCTGCGTCTGCATACACTGGACAATCGTTCGAGCAGACAATCTTCCTACGAAAAATTGGAAAATTTACGATCCAGAGGCTACCGAGACGAGACACACTTTCAGGGAAGTGGACGATTACGAATCACCTCGTAGAACGAGCTTCCGGAGGAAGTTGATCCCCATAAAAGAGCCTCGAGCGAACAAAAGCTTCACGATGCTGAGATTGCCCTTGGAACCGGACGCCGAGATGTTGCCAGCGCATTACACGGGCGTCAAACCTCCCGGAGTCGATCACATGGAACTGAAGTACGCAGAGTCGCAAATCTCCAAGGTTGTGCCTAAACTGGAACCGTCGAGAAAGTCCGAGCAGGCGGATGGTACGCGACAGGTGTCCCAGAAGCACGAATCAGAGAGCGAAGGTGGAGAAAAGGGTTACGAGAGGTCCGCTTCGTTCGAGAACGCGCGAACAGGTGACGATTTGAAGCAGAAGAAGAAGACGCAGTACGCGGAGGCTGGTGGAAAGAAGAGAGTTCACGATGATAGAGGCAATAATTCGGGATTAGAGTCGGAAAAGAGCGAAGGCAACGGAGGAGCGAATTACGAGAAGAAAGGCGGTGGTCAGGTGGATCGCAAAGCGAGTGGATATCGCAACGTCTATCACAAAGACGAGTACAATAAGGATCACGACTTTTATGACAACGACGATCACGGAGGTCACTCGAAGAAGCATGGACATTACAATGAAAAGCACATAGCCATTGAGGGGACGTTTAAGAAAGGCGACGCTCGAGGTTCTGGCTTCGACCAGGCGGAGCTACTCAAGCAGGGGATCGAGGGGAACTCCCAGGCCGACAGAGAAACCAAAGGTCACGAGGCTGGCCGTGGTTATGACGGATTCTTTAAAAACTTCCAGGGATTCGCGAAGCAGGGAGGCAGAAACGGGGGTAGAAGGTTTCGCTTCGGTCAGACGAAAGCGCGTTAGCTTGCATGTACCTTTTGATGGACGCTAAAGCTGCGTACAGAGGGCTATTTTATGCGATAAATCGTGAATTCTTTTTTTTTACTGGATTTATTGTTTCTTAGAAACGAGAATTCTTCGTTGATTTTCTTTGACAAATTCGTAGTATATGTTGTATTGATATTTGTAATGCGATAAGCCGTTGATCGATGTGAGTGGAGTGATTGGATAATTAGGGGAAATTGAAACGACGTTGCTGCGAGTTCTTCGAATTACACGAGAGTACTATTACATTTAGTATAAATATTAGTATATTTCATAAAATACGTCAACCTTATTTTTTATTGCATTTTGTACTTAAACGATTTTCCAATTGTACGCTTAACTGGAAACGCTCGAAGTGAAATGAATGAAATTTATCCCCCTCGACGGAGTACTTTTCAACGTCAAACAAAGATCGCTTCTTTTTATACCTATATTTTTACTTCTGGACTTGAAAACCTTCACGTGAAACTTAATTCTGGTATTAAAATCCAGTACTGGTGATTAAATGCAAAATGAATAAGATCGCTATGTAGATCGAAATTTGAACTGAACTTGACAAAAACCCAGAAAAATGTACATCAATTCTGAATTATTTGTCTTCTTTATTTCGTCCCAAATAATCTGTCACATCCATCTACCAATTAAATCTTTAAACCACTACATCACTTTCTAATCAACTCCGTATCTCCTGCAAACTCTCGAAACGAGAAGCAGAGGAAGATCCAGCGACAACACATCTCGATGGAAAAGCCAGCAATAACCGAGGTGGCAATTCCGCGATACAAATTTTCTTTCGTTAAACAACACTCACTTGTGCGTCAAAGAGCAAAAATCAATTCTCCTCCTTCCGTCTCGTTTATATTCCCCGTTCGTGCTCCCGTTCATTTTTTTCCATCGCGTTTCAGAATTTCTCATTTCGAGTGTCATCGATTCGACGAACGAAACAGTGAGGGAGTGAATGAGAGAGGAGGGGATCCAAAATATACTCCCGTATTTGCCCGTAGTTCATCAGAAACGTATTGTTCTGTACCTTTTTTTTCCCCTCTTCCTCGTTTTTTTTTCGCCGCCGGTTTTATTTATACGGTGGCAGCCGATGATTCGACCGTGCACGGGATCGCCTCGTTTCGCGCGTCAGCAAGCACAGCCCGGTTGATTAATGGATATTAATAATGCCCGGCATTGTTGCGCCGATAAATTGCAATCTTTCGGTGTATCGGATGAAATGAGAATAAAAGGCGGTAATTGATGCAAGCGCGTCTGCCCCGCTCCGTATATACCCAGCCTCGCGGTCTCCCGCTACCCTTGTTCTACGCCGACAGCGACCGTGTATCTGCTGCATCCTCTGAAATAGATGGAAAGCTTTATCTTCCCTCCTACGGTCCTTTATTTTTCGTATAGTCAGCTTGACTTTATGAATTGCTGTTGAAAATCTACGGTAAAGTTGTACAGTGTTGTACGTTGAATTAGGGTAGACAGCGGTTGGATTATGGCTGAACATTTAGGAACTTCTCGGTGCACATAGTACAAGTCATTGTCATTTGACTTCTGTTCTTCTGTTTTTTGGAAGTAAGTTCGTTGTAAGATCGAATTTATTCATTTTGTACCTCACAGCCAGCAGAAATCAATTTGTTTTTATTTTTTCAAAATTGAGTTAATTTGTTCAATCTGTACCGAACTCAATTTTAAAGATGTTTTTCAAAGTTTCTCAAAATTGAGTTAATTTACTAATTCTGTATCCAACTCAATTTTAAAGAAAATCTTTTCGAAATTTTTTCAAAATTGAATTATGTACATCATTTTGCTGCACTTTGTTCAGTTTATCTGAGCCACAGGTAGCAATTTACTCTGTATAATAAATAAAAAAGGAATTAATTGTTGGAATCACTTCAAGTACAACGCTATCTTATGTGTGATCACTGCTGGTTTTTTGTTTTGCGGTAAAATTACAATACAGAACTTAGGTCAGCCTTGTTCTCAAGCACGAAACCAATGCAAATAGCAATTCCTTAGATACGTCAATTCAGAGAAAAGTGAAGACATCAGTTCGTCAAGAAATATGAACACTTCATCCCTCGAATTGAACAATTCTTTCCCAAACTATTCTCCCGTACCTCGTTCGACCTGTATAATCGTTTCCACGTTTCCACCAACCCTTTTCTCTCTTCCAACGTCCCACGTGCACGCTGTTTAGGTGTGAGCAGATGATTTGCACGAAATGTGTATCGCAGGTATACACTTGTCTCTATGATAGCTAAGTGTACACGCGTTTGCAGGCCAGCCGCCGAAATTTCTGTGTGTCGGTGACACAGCCACGATTTCGCATCGAAAGTGTTTACACACGCGTGTACACGCACGCGGAGACAAAGGCGGCGGAGGCGTGCGCAGGGCTGAGTTACCCTGTGTATGCACACGCGTGTACGCGTGTGCGTGTGTTTGTAGGCACCCGTATATCGGAGGAGGTGAAACGCGGCGCGAGTAATACATAAATCAGCTGGTCTGCTGGCTGCCATATCATTCCGTACAACGGCCATGAATGAATAGAGCCGTGTTTGAGTTATCGTGCTCCCTGCTCTTCCAGCATCTAGCAGAGCCTGCGGGGTCTTCAGCCTTTTCACGCCTCTAAGCGTGCAGCGTGTGTGTGGTGTATTTCGAGAGAAATTGCGTGTTTAAGAGGGTTTCATCCGGATACAATTGGTAATTTCACCAAGTCGTACACTCTTGTTCATAAGTATTAGGACATTTACCAATGTGAAGAAAATACGAGATTCTTAAGAATCTAACTGGAATTATTCAATCTAGAATCTTATCGTATAACGAAATGAAATTTGATGAAAAAGTATGTCCAGATTATTGTCATAAAACTTTGTTAACAAAAAATTATTCTAAAGTAAAATAACTAAAAAGTTGCTAATAAGAATTTGTTGCCACCTGATTAGGACGCAACGAAGTCTCGGTTCGGCGGATTATAGCAATAAACAACTTAGTCACATTTGGCCGCCAGACCGAGGTGCAGACGTTCGCAAGACCGCAATATACCCCCCCTGGACGCACCAGCGCGACACTCAGACAATAGATCCCAAAAACAGTTGGAACCATAAAACATTCGTTACCGGGGATCGACCAAAAGGTCACAGTTTTCGTCGACCAATAGCAGAACACACCACGTTTTCCACCTCCATAACACAACCACCAATCAGAACCAACCTAACGTCTATATGTACACCTACACACCTGGAAACCGTCAATCACTGTAAGACGACTGCACGAGACACATAGTTACGAAACGAACAATCCAAATTACACTAATCATCTGAAAAGCATCTAATCAAAACCAGAATTCATCAAAACACCTACAACATCTAACCAAAGGACAAACATCTAATCAAAATAAAAAAACATCTAACCCAACAACGAAGTTTTAATACACCTCGAACCAGCGAGACAATTCATCAAAACCGTCAATCACTGTAAGACGACTGCACGAGACACATAGTTACGAAACGAACAATCCAAATTCAACTAAACATCTGAAAAGCATCTAATCAAAACCAGAATTCATCAAAACACCTACAACATCTAACCAAAGAACAAACATCTAATCAAAATAAAAAAACATCTAACCCAACAACGAAGTTTTAATACACCTCGAACCAGCGAGAAAATTCATCATGTCGTATACCTCTCTCCTATCTTTCATTAGTTTTTAGTCATCCTGCCTCCTTTCCTTAACTGTAAACAAATCCGCATCATCCTAACGTTAGTCACCCCGAAACCTAGACCTCCACATCATCCTTTACTTTTACTCATCGCTGAACCTAGACCTCACCGCCTCTCCCTACATTCACCTCTGAGACCAACCCCTATTCTCGTACTTACCGAACCTATATCTAGAAACCTTTTCCGTCGAAACAGCAGATTTTTGTCTAGCGGTCTTCACGCACCGAACGTCACCGAACTGTCTAATAAAGTCGAATAGTACTACGCGCAGAACAGCTCCCTTATTTCGCCCCAGTTCCCGTTAGGCTCTCCTACCGCGTACCTATTGAATATAATAAACCAACGCAAGGAATCGCGAACCGCGGAATACAACAATCAACCTGCGCCAGAACTCCTGATCATAAGATTTGATCGAGGTCCACGACGCAACAGAATTATTCAATCTGGAATCTCATCGTGTAACGAAATGAAATTTGATGAAAAAGTATGTCCAGATTATTGTCATAAAACTTTGTTAACAAAAAATTATTCTAAATTAAAATAAGTAAAAAGTTCATAATAGGAATTACTTATTCAGGAACCTCGTCGTATAACGAAATGAAGTTTGATAAAATATATATCTAGGCTATTGTGGTAAAGCTTTGTTAATAAAAAATAATTCTAAATGAAAATAACCGAAAAGAAAATAAATTTGAATGTTTGGTAATTCTAGAGTGAAATACTATTTAACTGATTTCATGTCACGAGCGTGGCGATATTGTATCGTATTAACGAGACGAATGAATTAAACCGGGTGATTATTAATGATAAACAGTAGCCAGTACGTGGGCACGGAGGATTAACGCGATGTTAAAAAATAATTCATATTCGAATTGCCAATGCCGAGTGCTTTCGAGTTCTCCCCAACGTTCGGTTAATTTGCATCCCGCTGTTTATTTCACGACAATCAAACAACTCACCGATTCGAATTAATTTGCAGCAAATATTTTGTTGCGAAATTAATGCAGCGTTGCGTTCACGCGTTGACGATCGTACGCGTGAATTTTGCACCGATCGAAACGTCGAACCATTAGACAGATCGAGAGATCAATCCACCAACGTCAGGTGTGTCTTTCGTTTGATTTCTTTCGCGAGTGAGATAGATTTGATTTTGAAGAATTACAGTATCCGCACTCGAGACAAGATATTATTTTATCGCAAGGGTGCAACAAGTGGAATAAAATGGCAGGTTTACTGTTAAATGCATGCGGAAATTTTATTCTGAAGAATTTGAAGAATGTGTCGAATCGTAAGATAATTGGAAGTGGAAAAGCTAATTTCCATATCACGGCGAAATATTTCCAAGAAAAGTGTCCCGTAAGCGCAATTTTTTACCACGTTACACGCATAACCTAGAAGGGAAAGCAATTTCGTCAGTGACACTTGCGATCGTGTTACTTTACAAAATGTGATACGCTGCGTAATGCGATTATTTTCTGTCGTAATACCCGAAAATATGAAAATTCGATAATTTGACACTCATACACATGCTATTGGCAGCTTGAATATTAGACTCGTGCTATTGACAACACTTTTAATTACACTTTACTCGAGCACTTATATTCGCCGCACAAAGAAGGGTAGAGAAATTAAATTTCAACTTTACACTGTGAGATAAAGTATCGCTAAGAAAATGACTTTCTTTCGTAGATATACATGCACCAAAAGTTTTCACTGTGCGTTGCAAGTTGTACGAAAATTTTGAGAAAAAGCTTAGCAATTTTAAGAATCTTTTATCATTCGTATTAATCGAAGTGAGGTAAATTGCTGTTTTAAAATATTTTTAGGTCATTCTGCAATCCATGTAATATTCAACAGCGAAATAAATAAATTCTAAATAAATTCTGAGACTTAAATTTTGAAATTAATTTAAATAAATTCTAAATAAATTCTAAAAATCAAATTCTAAAATTAATTTAAATAAATTCTAAAAAGCACAAAGAACAATATACAAATTTCTTTCATACTTACCCTATCGCATCGATTCATAATCATCATGGTCAATCTAGTCACCTACCTTTTTCCAGGACGATAAAGTTTACACAACACGTTTAGCCCTACCTCCCGATTACGAGAATGTGACAGAATTCATGCTGGAATCGTACTACAAATACGAACCGGTGGTCATCAACATCGGCATACAGGGGACAGAGCCAACGGAGATTTGGAGGACGATGATGTACAGTCAGGTTAAAGCTGGACTCTCGATCATCGCCGAAGATCGAGATAACTGTGTTATTGGAGCAGCCTTGAATTACGTCACGTCTATCCACGAGGGGAAGGAAATGTACAATTTGGCGAGATGCTGTGCGACAGGTCCACACCGGGACATCGTCGAATTCTTCGGTTACATAGCAGAGACGCCTAAACTTTGGGAGCGTTATTGCGTCCATAGCATCTTCGAACAAGCCAGCGTCGCTGTCAGCCAGGATTTTCAAGGATTAGGAATCGCCAGAAGACTGATTCAAGAGAGCTGGGTGTTGGCGCGAGACTGCGGCTACCGGTTGTTCCGGCTGGACTGCAACAGCAGGTGAAGTAATTGGATGATTCGTCGATGAGTGCGTTCCATAAGTTCGCGGCGGAAGGGAAAAATATTTCAATGAAAATTCAAGGAAATTCTATAACGACGACATAATAGTCTGACTAAAAGAAAAAACAGGAACTGCTGTGGAATGAGTTTTTCTTCTCAAATTTAAAGGGTCGTTGAAAATATTGACCTAAATTATAAAATTCGACACGAACTTATGAGATGATTTAAGATGAATTTGGAAGATTTCGATTTGAAGTGGTCCAAGGAAATTCTATAGCTACGATATAATAGTCTTACTTAAAAAAAAATAGGATTTATCGTGGAATTAGTTTTTCTTCTCAAATTTAAAGGTTTGTTAAAAATATCGATCAGAATTATAAAATTCGACACGAACTAACGAGATGACTTAATATGAATTTTGAAGTTTTGGACTTGAAATGTCTGGATTTATTTCTGGCACAAATGAAATGGCAAAATTAAAGTTACATGTGAAGGTAATTTAAACTCCATATTTACAGACCTCCTGCTCTAATCTAAACTGCAGCACAATAACTTACAGTATCTACTCAGTAAGTTACAATAGAAAACAATCACATAAACTAACACGAAGGTAATTTAAAACTAATTACAGCGACACTTGAAAACGGAGATCGTTGAATTTTTACATAAAATTCACAAAAGTACATCGACCGAAATAAGTCTATTGGAATTTTAGTTACATTTTCCAGCATATTCAGAGAAATCTGTGAAAATGTTTTTCCGTGAAAAATTATTCCAGCGTCGATTAGCCGGAATTTAACGCGACGCTCGTGAAAAAAGTATTTCACAACTTTCGTCTTATAGGAAAGCAGTAAAAGGTACAACCATTTTATTGCGGCCTCGTTTAAGATAGAGTAGCTAACTCGCGCGCTACATCAGCAGCTCCTTCGGACAAAGGAAGAAGTGTAGGGAGGGAGTAACTCTCGTTTGTTCGTCTAATAAGTTTTAAGAGCGGGAGTTTTATTATTTTTTCCTTAGGTCTGAAAGTTCGCATGATCTAACGAAGTTCTTCTGCGTGCAGTTATTGCGCAAGGATAGCGACGGGTTTCGGGTGGCCGCTGGTCTGGAGCATACCTTTCAGCCAGTACGTGAGGAACGGAGAAGTGGTATTTAAACACGTGAAGGAACCGCACACGGTGTGTCGAGTGTATGTCGATTACCTGCGATACTGTAAAACCTACTGTCCGCCCTACAAAGGCTGTCAAACACTCACACCTCCTCCATTCTGAAAGAGAGAAAAAATAAACGTCCTTTACAGAAACCTGGTGTGATCTCGATACAAAGAAAGGATTGTGATATAATTTTCTCCACTTAAGTACGTCTTTGGTTACCAAGAACAGCCATAAATTATTTAAAAATTTCTTACCTCGTTAAATTTGTCTCGCAACTGATGATCACGCGTCAACAACGTTTAAAACAAACTTACGCGTATGCAAATGAGAACCTTAAATATATAGGACAATCTTAATAGACACTGTACGTTCCAGTAATACGTGAGCTATTTACTTAACACGCGATGAATCTGGAATTACATTGGAACGCACTCTATCTACTTTCGTAACCGCGACAAATTCGCCAGGGTTCAACGACCTGACCTACAGTTCGCGCTAGAGTTCGCCAATCGAGGGGAATATAACGGAGGTAAGGTTCGAATGACACGCGACTTTCGTGGACGTTGGAATTACCAAACGTCGAAAGTGATAGAGAAGAGAAAAAGAGAGAGATTCCAGGAGAGGAAAAATTCGATTACTAAGTTCGACACGTATGTAACGAAAGCTGAACGTCGCGAAACGTCAATTGAATACTCTGTGACAAGCAGGCGGAGGATATAGAGGGTAGGGTAGGAGAGAAATAATTGTCGTCGAACGCGGCGATTCGCCGGTGTAACGAGGTTCCGCCGCGGAATGAAACCGATCCGCGACACATAAATCGTGTCCCGTGTATTTTTACTGTCGACAGGTTTGAAAGTGGCGGGCAAATTGCCGACCGAATTGATCTATCGCAGGCTGAGTTGACTCATTTGTAAAACAATTTCAGACAGACGGCCACGATCGTCCATTACAGGGTTGTTATTGCCGGAATTCGGAAGCGGCGTCTGCAAACAGAAGCCGCCGCGCTATGATTTAACCATGCGATCGTGGTCATTTTATGAGATCGCCGTTGATTCGATGGCGGACAGATTATGCGGGATTATTAATGAATCCTGCAAACTAGAATTTCAAAGAGGTTCGTCGCGTGATCGCAAACTTTTCAAGTTGTAACAACACTTTGTTTGTTTGTTTCTCTTTGATATTTTTATTTTACTTGGCTGCAAGGTAATTTTGTAGTATTTTCTGATAGTAGATGTTGCAGGAGAATTTTTTAGGGTAAATGTAAAATTGATAGATAATAGATCGATCATTTAGGTGAATGGTGGTTTTAATAATGTAATGTAACGCGTGATGCATAAATTCCGTATCGAAACGATGTGAATTTCACAGGGATAGTAGTTCTAAATGATGCATCGCAAAATTTCTACGTCGTTGAAACTGTACTCTACTATGAATTACAGTTCGTGTCAACAGCGACGATGTACCTTTTGGATTTTTCAACGAATTCTCGGGTAAGTATATTTATTTTGAAATTCAAAAATTCAAATGATATCGACACCTAAAATTTACAAATTTTTATTATTTAATCTCTATCGTTTAGTTTCTATTAATCTCATTTTTCGACGAATTCTCGGGTAAATATTGTATTTATTTCAAAATTCAGAAATTCAAATGATATCGATACCTATTTACAAATTTTTATTATTTAATCTCTATCATTTACCATAAAAAGTGAACGATTACTATTCTGCCATATTATAATTTACGCACTATTTTATACCGCATAAAAATATACCAAATAGAGTCCTGTCTCGTTAAGTATTAAGTCCAGCGCAGACTTCCAAGCGGATGTTAAGCCACTGTGTAACGAGAGCAGGCTGCGTTCTTCGAGCAGTTTAAAGGGAAAAGCGTTTTTACCGAGCGCAAAATGAAAGTACAGAAAATTAAACGAAAATTTCCACAAAGAAATAGGAGTAACGACGATTTCAAAAAAGTACGCGTTTTATCGACAGACGCGTAAATCTTTGTTTAACGTGCTTGAAACGATCGCGACGGTGAAGAAATCCTTCCGGAAGGGACCGCCGTAGAATTACTTCGAACAACCGGCGTGAATCAACTTTAATCAGAAGACGTGTCATTCGCTCGGATTAAACGTGCCCCTTTACCGCCTGTAAAACCGAGCCTTGTGACGACAAATTAACGCACCTGTCGTTCTGCGCCGGCACAAAGTTCCTCTCGTTCCCCCTTTTTTCCCCGTCGATGAAACGTCTTCGTTTGGTTTTCACGCGTGACACTTCAACGTATATACACACGGGGTATTTTTCATAATGCGTGGGACGCTGTTTAAAGGGCGAATTTAACGCTTGGAAGTGTAAAATTCAGAAGAGAAATTCTTTGCAATTTTCACTGCTTCGCATAAAGGTAAGTTTCGATCTCACTTTTTTGTTAATTTTATGAAAATTAAAGAGCGTAAGGAGCGTTCAGAAACGGTTAATTAATTTTAGTCGACAATCGAGAAATTGCTCAATATTTCACTGTTCAAGATCACTTCGATGTCATAACACTAAAGGTCATTGACCTCCTGTATATAACCGATAACGAGGAACAGATCGATCGTAGATCGACAAGAAGATGTTACACGTATTCGTTGAAATGTGTGTCATCTCCGTATAAAATTCTCCAGATAGAAAAAGCAAATTCATCAACAGTTACGTTAAGATAATTCCATGTATGTAGATGCAGTCGAAAGTCTCGAAACGTTTCCACCGTTTAATCGCGCAACACCGATCAAGTCGGGTCCAGAAAATTGCCACGAGCACAAAGGTCCCCAGGATCATCAACAGGTACCGTGACGTTCCGTTCGATACGACGCGTCGCGTGGTGTCGCGTCGCGACGCCGGCACCGAGCTCTCGAGATGACGTAAAATTTAATTACTGCGTTTCCGCGTCTGGAATCGCTAGAACAATAGCCGACATAAAGGGAACGACACAATGCACGCCCGTTACCTCGAGCACTTAGCGACGCAGCAGCGGTGGAGGAGTAGCAGAAGAGAGGTATAGGTGCGGTGAAATCCTGTTTTGCGTAGAATCTCGTCGATGCAGAAGAATGACGAACGTTCTTTG